CAAGATGCATCATGTAAAGGTACAATTCCCAATGAGAAATGTAATTGTGTTGTATACCTACAATGTACCAATAAAAGATTTTAATTAAAAAAAAAAAACAAATAAAGGCTGCCGTAGACACCTGAAGTCCCACAGAGCTTTTAAACAACATTATATGTGTTTCTAGCTCCAAAGATGGGAGTCGGCTGTAAATAAAGGACTCAAAGTGGAGGGGGACAGAGGGGCAAGACATCAGATGGGGTTGTAAGAGAATCTGGGAAGTTAGCGTGTTTTATAACCTGAGGTCCACTCATGCCTTAAGGAGGTAAACACTCCACTTGACTCTACTCATACTTATGCATTACTGTTTGAGGAATGGAAATCTGTCCACCCAAGTCAGACAGTCTTTTTTTCAGAAGGTGGAATTTAAAAACTAAAAATTTGAGATGGAGGGGTTGAAGGGAGGGCAGGGGAATGGGGAAAAAATAAGAATGAAGAGAGATTACATAAAGGTGCAAATTTCCAATGATGAATGTCATTATATTGTATACCTAAAATGAACCAATATAATTAATTTTTTTAAAAATGAAAAATTGAGATCCTTGACTACTGATGCAGAAATCACGAGGATTATCATGAGTTGCTCTGATTTAGAACACAGTGGAATACAATTCAAACATACCCAGAAAAAATACTAAGTGGGGAGGGGTCAAGCCAGTTGGTAGACAGGTAAGTAAAAAACAGACATTGTAGAAAAGCAAGAAACCATGAGTTGCCTAAGGCTAAGGTTCCCTTGGCCTTACGCCCTGTCAAGGCCTGGTCTCCAGTCTGTAGACTCCCTGGGATCTCTTTTTTTTGTACGGGGGATCAAACTCGGGACCTTGTGCTTGTGTGGCAGGCGCCGGAACCACTGATCTAAATCCCTGGCAAAATAAGTCGTTTGGGTTTTTTTGGTACCAGGGATTGAACTCAGGTCCTTGGGCCTGTGGGGCTGGTGGCAGAGCCACTGAGCTAAAGCCTCGGCCCACCCTGGGATCTCTTTTAATCCAGGTACCTCAAGTGCATCTGAAACCCTTGCAAAGATGGCCCGATACAAACATGACAGAAAAGACAGCAGGTGTCTCTGAAGAGTCAAAGAGGCAAAGGGACTGTCATGAACACATAAGGACAGAAGAGGAGTGAGTTCTAACACTGAAGCTCTAAAATATAAAAATCAAATAAGAAAACCTCCCTCTTTATAATCATTTCTGAAAAAGTAATCTAGACTATTCCTGCTGAATAGATAAGCATATTTGTTTCTTAAGATCGTTTTTTCACAGCAACTATCATATTATTTATAGACTGTCTCTCAAAAAGCATGTATCATTAGTGGCAAGAAAATTTTAGGTGGTTTATTAATATATATTTTATATTTTAAAGTTATTTATTTTAACTTGGATTAAAATAATGTTTGTGAATCAAATTTGTGTATTCACAGATAGTGAGTTTGATGTTAAGGTTTAAAAAATGAATCATTTTAAGATATCCAGATTTTTATGTATTTGGTTTTTGGGGGTTTTTTTTGTCTAGTTAAAGGGTTAATAAAACCACTCTTTTTACTTTTTACCTTGAGTTAACTTTCTATTTTAGTTCCCCACCCCCCCCCCAAACCCTGACAAAGGTAGAATGTCAGTTGTGTTTACAAGACAACATTGTTTCTGGCACAAGATCAAACTAGGCCCTGTGGAGGCAAATCCAGCCTGCAGCTTATTTTGTAAATAAAGCTTTATTAAGACATAGCCATTCCCCTTTGTTTACATACTGTCTATGGCTGCCTTCATGCCACAACAGCGCAGTGGAGCAGTTGTAACTGAGACCATGTGTCCCACAAAGGTGAAATTTTTATGATCTAGTTCTTGGGGGGGATTGCTGTCCCTTGGCTTAAGATAAAAATAATTCAATTATAAATTATGGCTGGCTTAGGAATTCCTAAGTAAACTCAACATCTGTTGGAAGCTCATGGGTTTGGCCTTTGTGTCTAGTAACTGAGGCCCTAATAACTGAATTTACGAAGGCTCAAGTGAGACATGGCGCTTGTAAGCCAAGGTGAACACTGCCTACAGATGTGGATCCAGACCCCTTGCACCTGAGCTGTCACGAGAAGGACTGTGGTCACTACTACCACGGCAGCTGGGATTCCCACCTAGAAGGGAGACCTGGTAGGGCCCCAGGCGTGCTGTTCTCTACCTAGCACCTTTGGGTCTGACTGACAAAGGAGAACCCTTTGGGTCTTAAGCATTGTGCAGCAGAATCTAAGAAGAGCCTCTTGAATGTTAATCATGCAAAAGATGCTCACTCGTGATGTTACAAACACCCAGGAGTATGAGTTTGACAGATTTCTGCTGTTTTTTGCAAACCATACCTTTAGGTCCTTTTGTTCCATCAGTTCCTGAAAATCCAGGGGGGCCTGGAGAACCTGGCTCACCCTAACAATTCAATGAAACAAAAGTAGGACTTTAATTGTGTTTCTAGTACAAATGACACATGTATGACATAATCCAATTTTCTGAAACCAATTTGGATTTTTTAATGGTAAGTTTTTTTTCTTTTACCAATGAATGATAAAAAAACCTAGACATGCATGGCAGGTACTCGACTGCACATGTCCAATTTTGCTTGCTTTTGAGACAGGTCTCATTGTGCAGTCCAGGCTGGCCAGAGTCACCATCTTCCTGCCCCAACCGTTCTAGTGCCGAGATTACAGGCATGTGTCACAACACCCGGTTTACATGTGTCTAGTTTTTGAAAACTGTTAAAATTCTTATAGAATTATAGCTATTAATATCAACAGTAGCATTTCATCCTATAAACATGGCTGCCAAACTGGAATTGTAGTATGTAAGTTAAATTTTAAGTTTTGAATGAACTTAGTATTAAATAAAATATTATTAAAAGCCATGTTATACTATAATCCTTGAGGGTGTTGAAACAGGGCCTCATGTATTTCACACTGGCCTTGAGCTCACTATGTAGCCTAGGCTGGCCTTGAACTCATGGATGCCTCAGCTTCCTGACTGCTAGCAATATAGCTATGTACCACCGTGCCTGGCAGTTTTTCTGAAAGATGGATCGTGAACTACATTTCCAGAGGTAGGGAGTAGGCTACTATATTTATTACACTGCCTGGCTTCTCAAGGGTATGCTACTCATGATTATGAAGAGCAACTATATGTAAAGCAAAGTCTATCATATCTTCAATCAGATGGGAGATTGAGAAACCAAAGTTTGGGTGGGATTTCAGGATAAACTTTTATTCTAGCAAACCAGCAGTCATGCAACAAGTCTCTGTGAGATGCTTAAAGCTGAGCTGGATCATGTGAATTATGTCACTTGCTCGTGGATGTCAGAGCACAGGTTACATCCTGGCCTTCCCGAGGGGGCATCTTCCCTGTGTCACCCCTCATCTTCCAAGAGCCAGGGAACGGCTCTGACCTACCCTGGCAAATGATGACTCTTTGCAGGACCCTGAAGTCAGGAGGATTTTATTAGCAGTAGCCCCTTACCTGGTCACCTGGAAATCCTGGAAAACCAATGATCCCTCTTAGCCCAGGGGAACCTGGAGGTCCAGGGGGTCCTGGAAACCCACGTTGTCCATTTCTGCCAGGTTCCCCCCTCGGAAATCCAGGTGGTCCATATCGTCCTGGCTCTCCTCTTCTCCCTTGTGTCCCAGGAATTCCTCTGTCACCTGATGAGGGCAGAAGTATTACAAACCACTTGGCTGGAACCTTGGGCTAGGCACTAGTTACATGGAAGGACTTAATGCTTTTAAAAGATGGAGCCAAAAGAGTTAGGAATCCCGGCGCCTACCCTGAGGCACACCTTGAAGGTGTCTGGTTCCAGGGACCTCTCTATGAAAGAAGCTCCCCAGGAACAGACTAGCAGAGAAAGGAGGACGCACATGGGGGCATGAGCCCCAGCATGCTCATTTTCCAATGAGAAAAACCTTACCCAGAAGAGTTAAAACACGTTCTCTACAACAACTAGTCAAACAAAAAAGCAAGGCAAGAAGTCAGCCACATGCAGATCAAGCCTGAATTTGGGAGAGAATATACATGTGGTTGCCAAAATGCTTGCTACCTGATTTTTCGGAGGGCCAGCAGCATGGCATGGGAGTGCCTGTTAGAAAGACGGGATCCCTGGAAAGTCCATACCCCAGGATTCACAATGTGCATTTTAATAAAATCCTAGGTGATTCACATGCACACTGAAGTTTGAGGGACACTGGTTAAAAACAGTCAATGTGGGCCAGGGATTTAGCTCAGTGGTTCTGCCACCTGCCTCACAAACACAAGGTCCCAAGTTTGATCCCCGGTACCCCCCCGTGAAAAAAAATCACATTCAGTATGCTTTTCTTTTTTAATACTAGCCACCCAACGCAGAGGTATTTTAAACCTGGAACCAGTATTTAATGTATGTCTCAGGTTGACTCTAGTTTAGAATACCCAGAGCTATAAATACATGTGAACTTCAGCTAAATTTTAGCATGAAAAAGCAAAAAAAGAAGTGTACCCCGTGACTCCTCATTAGTGTGTAATGAATTTTGCTAATCTGCATGTTTGTGGAATAGTTGCCTAATATACATGCTTGCTCCAATGATCTGTAAAGAGGTCAATGTATGTGCTATGGTTAAAAAGCTTAAACATTTACCTCTCTCTCCTACGAACCCTCCATCTCCAGGAGGCCCAGGTTCCCCAGTGTCCCCTCTTTTGGAAATGATGGCCATTTTTCCTTCATCTCCAGGAAGTCCTCTGGCTCCTGGGACATTAATTATGCGAGAGAAAAATGCACACACCACACACATGACTCATCTCTTCCCACACTTCACCCCGTTTACAAATCCCCATCTCAGTTACTAAACTGTGTTCATGTCCACAGATTGCCCACTATCAACATGGTTTAGCTACTGGTTAACCCACTGGTAGTTAAATCAGCCATGATGAGAGTTTTTATGTTGGAATGAGAGTGTTTACACCATCATAATTGGCAAACACTGCAAATCAGGGCATTAAAAAAAAATTCAGAGAACCAGTTTATGACATCACTGGAATTAATCCATTTTTTAAATTTTAGTGGGATAATTGTATAGTGGCAGAATAACCCAGCAAACATAACTTATCCAAGGTAGCAAAGTGACTCTGATGCCTTGATTCTATGTAAATAATTTACAAACTAATAAAACCCAAAATAATGAGAATCAATCAACTAAGAAGAATAGGTAATTTGCATTAAATATGAGGCTATTTGCCCAAAGAGTTTTATGGACAAAACCTTGTTTCTAAAAATTATCAAACATTCCTCTCAACACTGGAAATACACTGTTTACTCACTGCAGCCTTAGGGGTAAGAGGTGAAGCTAACACTTACTTAACAAGGATGGACACAAGGCATTGAAACTGACGGTCCTGAAACTTTATTTTTTATGGTAGTGAGCACTTTTTTAAAAGAAGCTTGGGAGCAGCTCAACCATGACCCAGATGAATGAGGTCTCATTCTGATTCAGCCCCTACACCTCCTCCCCCCAGCTGCTGGTTTTTATGTAATCTGAGAGCTATGATCTACACTTCTGCATGGTTGGGGGAAAACTCAAAACATAAACTTTGTGAAAATTATACACATTTGTGGAACTAATATGAACTTCACACTTCAGCATTTATAAATACAATTTCATTGGAACAAAGTCTTTTTTCTTCTTCTATTTTTGAGGTATAGGGGATTAAACCCAGGGCTTTGCACTAAGCTACATCCTTGGCCCTTTTTATATTCTTTATTTTGAGACAGGGTATCATTAGGTGGTTAATTTGCCCAGGCTGAACTGACACTTGTGACCCTCCTGTCTCAGCCTCCCAGAGTGCTGGGATTACAGGCAGGTGCCACGGAAAAGGTTCGGATCAAACAAGGTGCATGATCATGTGCCGCCTTGCTGTGTTGTAAACGCGCTTACCTTTGGCACCTCGGACTCCCGGGTCCCCCTGAAAGCCAGGCCAGCCCTTCTCTCCGATTTCTCCCTTTCTGCCTGGGTGGCCTGTGGTGCCTGGATTTCCTCTCTCTCCTGGAAAGCCTGGGAGACCAGGCAGCCCCCTGGGTCCTGATAAAAGAAGAGCATGAGCTTTTGGAAAACCATTGTAAAGGCTGGTGCAAGTCTTACATCTGTGTTCCTTGTAGTCCACTGAGAAATGCAAACTCTCACCTCATTCTGGGTTTGCACAGAAAGGATACAGAAGTTGTCCAGCTCACCACTCTGACAGCTATGCTGTCTCGCTCTTTTCGACCCTACCTGCAGGCCCGGTGTTTCTGGGTCCTGATCCCACACAGGTCAGCGGACTAGAGGATGGGTGAGGGTGACGGGCTATCAGAGTGAAAGGCTTTATCCCTGTCCCCAGGACTTCGCCGTCTTGCCCAGCCCTCTTGAGTTCAAGGGCTATGGGTCCTGTGGATGCAGCCTCTCCAGCCCCCTTCTTCCGCTGACCTACACCAATCCATTCTGCTACTGAGGGTAACAAACAGGACAGAAGAAGGGAGACACCATGCAGGGAAGGACCACGGCAAGCTAGTAGAGCAGTAAATTCTATCAGTATCATCATGCATAGCCGGCTTCACCTGACAGTGGATTTTAAGCTTACAGAATAAGAAGAAATACAGGAAGAATGCTACTTACCCTTTGGACCTGGATGACCAGGTAGCCCATCTTCCCCAAAACGGCCTGGGATTCCTGGAGGTCCTGGGAGTCCATCTGGCCCAAGCAGTCCTGGGGATCCAGGGAAGCCCTTCATTCCAGCTGGTCCAGGAGACCCCATATCTCCTTGCTGTCCTTTCCTACCTGGGGCACCTGAGACCAATGAGTGACAATGAGGTATGAAGGCTGAAAACTGGCTTCCCACCTAGATGGGAAAAATATACTCACAAAAGCTCAAATTATGTGTCTAGGGCCCATTAAAGAAAAGTAAAACAATATTTATTGGCTAAAATAACAGTAACGACTTTACATCTGTCTAGGAATATATTTTTCTGGGTGTTATAAAAAGAAGGGCAGATCATTCAAATAAGTATTTGCCGGTAGAGATGCATGCAGATTATGAAGAAATTTTAAATGGAAAGTAGGAGTAAAGAACAAGAAAAATTATTTTTATTTACTCTTAGAGGAGAAAAACTAATAGAAGGAAACTTTCTGGGAGCTTCCTGAAGCTCTGGCAAGTGAAGTTCAGTTAGGCTGTTAACTGTGAGGAGAAAAGTGTAAAACTCAGAGCAGCAGCAGCTGGCATTACTGGTGCTAAAAAAGGAGGCTGTAGTGGCAAGTTTTGTCCCAATCTTGTTTTGATTTTGGAAGTGGACATATTCTTGCATTTGGATAAAAGCAATAACAGACATAAAGAATGGAATTCACAATCTGAATAGTGAATGAAGATCGTATTGGAAACAGCCCCAGCTAAGGTCTGAATGTATGTCCTGGAAGTTTGTATATTGAAATGCAGCCACCGATGCGGTCGTGTTAAGCAGAAGAGAATTTAGGAGCTCACTGGGTGGTGAGCGGAGAGCCTTCGTGAATGGTGCGTGTGACCGTATGGAAGAGGTGTGAGGAACTGTTCGCTGCTCTGCCGTATGAGGACACGAACGGGTTATTTGTGAGACGCGGGTCCTCACAGACAACAGCTCTCTAGTGCCTTGATCTTGGGCTTTCCAGCCCCTGAGCTGACAGCAACAAATCTCTTGTTTTTAAGTGACCAAGCCTGAGGTGTATTGTCACAGCAGCCCCGATAGACTAAAACAGCCCCTTAGCACCTTGTGTTGCGGGACATGCACTCTTTCACGTCTGGCTGGCTGGCTGTGTCAAGAATGCAAAACCGTGACGTTGTTTCTTCCCCTGGGCTATTTCTCAGGGTTGTGTTTGCAGGAAACAACCTTGACGGGTGACACAGTGCCGAAACCCACACAGCGAAGGGTCCGAAGTCGGGGAGAGCGGTGGGAGATGAAGAGAAAACGAAGAAACCATGACTATTCTTGAAGTTTGGGACCAGGCGGAACCGTAGCTTGTGGGGAACTAATGGCCGCCTGGAGGACCACGCACTCTTTATTTATAGTGGAAGGCAAACAGGAAGAGAAGGCGGGGCAAATAGTGCTACGTGGCCTACGTGGCCTGCGTGTCCTAGGCGGAAAGTAGCGTGATTGTTTCGTGATCTGGGCCTGTGCAGGAAGAAACAAGGGAGGGTACACAATGTAACTGCCCTTGGGGCTGTGCCATTCAGGGTCTGCAATACTGACTCTCTGATCTATGGAGGAGAAAGCCAGTAGGGAAGAGAAAGGGAGTAGGGAGGTGGCGAAGGACCATCTTCAGGCCCAGCCCGTGGCAATACAGGGCCTCCTCCAATACGTAGAACAGGTTTCCTTGCAGGCTGCTCTAAAGCACCCATTCCTAGATTCAGCACCCCTCTCTTGTGATGCAACCCGTGATTGTGCAGCAGGTAGCTGGCCCCACTTGGCATTGGCCCCCTGGGATGTGGGTGGCATGGGCTCATGACACAACCAGCACGGAACTCAAGAGTAATAAGCTCTTCATCTTCTGACTCGAGACTCAGGCTTCTGCCAAATTCCATAAAAGGTCAAGAGACATGTGTATTTGTAAGTAGCGTAAACCTTAAACCCTTCAGGTTCCTGACATCTGCTGACACTTACCTGGACTACCTGGAGCTCCCAGGGGTCCTGGTTGGCCTGGGATCCCAGGAGCGCCTCTTTCACAGGAATGGCCTGGTAGACCTGGGATGCCTGGAAATCCAGCACTTCCTGCTTTGCCTCTGGGACCTTTGAGACCTGGCAAGCCAGGAATGGCAGCTGCCCCTGTAATGACACAGTCCATCTATGCCACACACGGCTTAAAACCATGTAGATGGCCTATAACAAACTGTTCATGCCTTAATAAAGGAAGGAACATTTTGATCCGGAGCCAGGCTTCAGTGAACTAAATTTCTGAATGGTCAGATTTTCATATCAAAGGTACAGTGAGTGCCAAAGGAATAGAAAAGCCATGCATTGTTAAGTGAGTAGCTTGATAAAGTTATGTGGATGACAAAGAAGTTACTTATGCAAATAAGAAACCACACAGTTCCTCGTGATTCCAATTAATCGCTACCTTTGCAGAAGGCTTCACACCAAACTGCTACAACACAAACCCAATTTGCACTGTATGAATTTACATTTTGTAAGAGATTTTATCCCTTGTACTCTCAAATTTCTATCTGTTGGAAACACAGTGTCATCAGCTTCAGGAAGAAAAATAAATCCACCATAGTTTCACACCCTGACCTAAAAATCTATTTTCTTTTTCTGTTTTCATTGAATTTTGGTTCACTGGTTTACATCTTAAAAATAGCAATCACAATGCACCATTATTGGATTATTTCACAATGCATATCAATTCACAAATGTTTTCTATTTGTTGTAACCTTTACAAATATGGTTTTCATTACTAATAACCAAGTGCTATTCTTTTGTGCACATATATTCCTTAATTCTACTGTTTCCTTTGCCCCCCACCTCCATCCTCAAGGACACCAAAATCCAAGATACTCAAGTCCCTTGCATAAAATGAAGTGGTATTTGCATGTAACCTGTACCAGTCCTTTTGTATAAATCATGTCTATATTACTTATAATATCTAATACAATGTAAATGCTATGTTAGTAATAGACATAGTGTATTGTTTAGGGAATAATGGCAAGAAAGATATCTGTAGATGTTCATGACAGAGGTGGGTTTTTTCCTGAGTATTTTTGATTCATGGTTGGTTGAATCTGAGGACACAGAATCCACTGATACAGAGAGCCAATGTGCGGATGTGCTGTAGTGGATACCTAATAAGAGTGGCCCATCTGTGGTTAGGAAAGAGACAGAACAGTGTCTGGTCTGAGGGCCACACTTGGATCATCATCTCCCACATGACTCACTGAAGTTCAGACTGCCGGGAACCACCCAGATGTTACAGATCAGAATTCCTAATACTGGAGCCCTGAAGATGGAAGCGTTAATGACACCCAGGTTATTTTTATCTACATTAAAATCGGAAAACTTCCACTGTGTATTCAGAATCAGTACTCAAGCCATCTTCCTATCTTGAGTTTCACTGCCCTGTACCTCAAGTGTGCAAAAGTCTCTTCACCCTGTCTGCAGACAGCTTGCCCTCTGGAACTCAGCTGTATTCAGTTCACCCAAAGAGCTTCCCCTGCACCCCAACCCACACTGTTCTGACCTCTGGCTTTCCTGTCCTCACACAGTCTGTCCTGTACCGTCAGCCTGGCATCGGCAATGGACAGGTTATACAGCCCCTGCTCTTGGTATTTTAGGAGCTAACATATTGCCCTGAGCTCAAAGCAGGCAGGTAGGTGTCCAGCGTTGTCATACCGAATTGAGCTGGCACTGCCACAGTGGGGTACCTTGCATTTGAAAACCACCAATAAAAGGCAGAAGCAACACTGAGGGGTGATATTTGAAATGCAGTCAGTGCCTCCATATGAGTGAAGGTGCTCTGGTGAAATGTATAAACATTCTAGCTGTCTAGAGTGAGACAGTCTGAACATCCAGTAAGGACCTGTTCGAAATTCGAGCTGGCTTTCTGGACTACGGAGATAGCAGACCCCTCATACCTTCAGGCCCGGGGCATCCGGGGTCACCTTGGGGTCCTTTTATCCCTGGCACTCCCGGAAGACCCCTATTTCCAGGGGGTCCTGGCTGACCAAATGCAGGGTCTCCTGGTGTTCCCTTCTGACCATTCACTCCACGTGGCCCAGGGGGACCTGGGGGTCCAAGAGGGGAGGACCCATTTTCACCTCCAAAACCCGGATCGCCCATGTCACCACGAAAACCTATTGAACAACAACAACAACAACAATAAAAAATTTAGTATAACAGTAGAGCCAATACATAAAAGACTGCTACTTTGATAAAAACACATTTCTAAAAGATATAGGAGTGTGTACATACTATTTGAGGTGCCTAATAGATAGTGTTGTTTGTGCCAGCTTTACTAGAAAGACAGATTGTAACTTTGTGTTTCCTACACATCAGTGATGTTTCCCTAATTGCTTTCATTCTCTGGCAAATATTCCACTTGAACTGAGCAATTCCAGCCATACGATAAACTAATAGCCTATTACTCATGCTCCAAGATGGAAGGAGCTTTGATAGAAGATTATCAACTACGAATCACCACAACACAGCTCAGGATCTCCTGTATCAGGAGAAGTCATTGCCTCATTCTCTTCAGCTTGGCATTGGCAGCCAGCAGGTTACACAAACTCTGCTCTTGGTGTTCTCAGAGCTGACATATTATTACCTTGAGCACAAAGCATGGAGACACCCAGTGTCGCCATATTGAATTGAGCTGGCAGAGCCACAGTGAGATACCTTGCATTTGAAAACCAAAACTAAAATGTAAAGGCTACACGTGGGGATTTGGGTTATTTGAAATATAATCAGTGCCTATATAGGAGTACAGACATTGGTCCCTGGGCCATTTCCCTAAAGTCACCCATTTTCCGAAATTTTAAAGTTTCCTATAGACATTCCCTAAGCAGGAAAACACTTCATTTACCAGGTGGGCCTGGTATTCCTGGTATTCCTGGTTGGCCTGGTTGGCCTTTTGGTCCATCCGAACACCTCAGCCCAGGAGCACCCGGGGGACCTGGAAATCCCTTCTGACCTAAACAACAGCAAAACACAGATTCAGTAAAACACAAGTCAAATGGGAACAAAGTGAGGTTCTTAAAAAGTCTATGTGAGTCTCTTTTTTGAATATTCCTATTTTATGAGAGCAAAGGTGTTGCCTACCCTGGTTTACAAAAGCATTTTATGAGCCAGGTGCACTGAGTGTTTTGTTAAGATACTTTCTCCTACGTGTAACGGAAAGGATCTTCCTGAGAAAGCCTTTGGCATGTACACCATCACTCAGATGAGCTTTCTGTCCTCTTCCCACACCGGGTCTCCAACACCAATGTGCAGGCCTAGTCCATCCTTGTAGGAGGACAGATGGTAGCCAGTGTCTATGCTGGTGAGGAAGCCAAATCTACCTCCCTGATCTTACTACATTTGTCTTTATATGCAGTATGAGGAAAGATGCCTGCAGAAGGAATTGAGGTTTTATCTTAAAGCTTTTCTTTCCTACTAGGACTTAACTAAAATAATTTCTTGATTTTGAACTTCAAACAAAGTATAACTGCCAATGTAAAGTGTGAATGTTGATTTCTTTTGAAGCCCAAACTACTGAAAGTAATCAGATGTTTTTGATCCATCCATGATTAAAGTGGAAATGAATGTTCAGTCAACCAACCACTAGTTCTTTTCTTTGTTTTGGTTTTTGGTTTTTTGAGACAGGGTCTCGCTATATAGTTCAGGCTGGGCTTGAACTCACTGTGTAGCCTAGGCTTATTTTGAACTCATGGCAATCCTCCTGCCTAAATGTCTTGAGTGCTAGGATTACAGGCATGTGCTACCATACCTGGAAACCACTAGTTCTTCATGCCACTGGTGTAGAATTCTTTCTTTTTTTTTTTTTTTGGTACTGGGGATCGAACTCAAGTCCTTGCACTTGCGCAGCAGGTGATGAAACCACTGAGCTAAATCCCTGGCCCCAACTGGTGTAGAATTCTGTTTCCGCACTCTCACATTTGCCTTGTGCTGGGTGGAGTACACTTTCCTGCCCTTGGACCCATGCCTTGGTCATGTGACTGGCTTTGGCTAATGGGATACCGACAGCCGTATGCAGTCCAAGGTCTGGAGTCAGTTTCTGAGGCTGGGGCTATCCTCTTGCATTTTTGCAATCCTATGGGAAGGGGACCCCCTGACCCTGTAATAGGACATGCATTGCAGACCTGAACTAAATCTGGGGCCAGGAAACAAGCCAACAGACATGGCCTTAGATCAGCTGAACCCCACCAACTAGCAGATTCACAGAGACAAATAACTGTTTATTGTTGTAGCCCACTGAGATTTGGAGGCTGTTGCACAACATTATTGTGATGAGAGCAGATGATTAGGATCATCAAGATTTGGTCAGGATTCAACCTTTAAATAAATTTTGGACTTATTTAATATAAGAAAAATCACCTTTAATAATCATGCTAGTACTTAAAGGGCCAATTTAACTCTGAAGAAATACAAAGGAATTATAAAAAAAATCCTGATATACATTTTGGGTTTAATTTAGCTAAAGCCAAGTAATTGATTCAAATGAAGCAGAGGCATAAAAGTGCAACCAGGGACGTAGATACATGGATGGGCTTTGGGGCGGGTTATAGCTCAGGGCGAAGGCCTGAGTAATCCCCAGTACAGGCCCTTTCAGTTTTTATTTTGAGACACGGTTTCACTAAATCAGTAAGTTGCCCAGGTTAGACTTGAACGTTTGTTCTTCCTGCCTCCGGCTGCCAGGGTGCTGGGATTACAGGCATGTTTAATCATGCCCGGTCACGTGGGTCTTTTTCCAGAAGGTTTCTGGTCAGAAGTTGGTCCTCTTCGAATGTGGAATGGAAAAAAATTTATAATCTTACTCTTAGGACATGGAAGAGAAAGATGATACAGCTTTAAAACTCTCAAGAGGCAGGCATTTAGCTAATATGTGACAAAATCAAGGTAAATTTTGTTGCATAAAGGTTTGAAAAGCCAATCTGCATCTGCTCAAACCAGGCAACCAGGCATCCAACTGTCATCATTACAAATGCTGCTTCTCTCCAGTCCCCTGGCACCTCAAAACCTTATAATAATTTTAGAGACACCCTAACTAGTTATCAGAATTTGCTGTTCGTTTATCTGTTGTTATGTTTATATCTACATGCCCCCCTGAAGCCTCATGGGGCAAAGGGGGGGACCTTCTGAAGGTAATTGGATTATAGGGGTACCCGTAGCTGACTCGCTGTTGGGAGGCGGGGCCTGGTTGGAAGAGGCGGGCCACTGTGGGCGTGACCAGGACGGTTATATCTCCCTTCTGGGATCCATTTTGACTCTGCTTCCTTTCTGTCCTGCAGAGAGCGGTTATCCTCTCCTATGCCATCCTGCCTTGGAGCCAGCCAACTCTGCAAGCACTGAGACTACTGAAACATGAGCCAAAATAAACCTCTTTTCCTTTAAATTGTGTGTGTCAGGTATTGCAACTCAGCGACAGAAAGTGACTGAGACATCTCTCTGGCCAGTTCTTTTATCTGGGAAGTGTATATGAGACAGTAACTTCTCAGTAATGATACCTGGAGGTCCATCAAAGCCTGGAAGGCCTGGCCTCCCAGGGTAGGTTACATTACAAGGGATGGAGTCACCTGGAATGCAGAAAAGAGTGGCATTTTATCAGTTATTGCACCTGAGTGATAGGCATTGTAAATCTTAACGATGCCTCATTTAAAATATTTTTCCATGTAGTATATCTAGAATTCAAAGGAACCCAAGACTCCCAAGTATCATTAGATCGCTTAAGTTGCTTTTACACCAAATTGCTACGTCTGTTCTGAAATCTGAATTTCAACTCTGCAAACACAAATGTGATAGAGATAAAAAAAACTATTGATTCTAAGAAGTATCAGTTTCAATAGCCTAGAAAAACTAATGTATTTTTAAGCCCGTAAATACCTGACACCACGGAATCAGAAGCTTTGATAGATCGTGAGCTAGAAGCAAAGTTCCAACTCTGAGTTCAGAAAATTTGGGCCCTGGCTTGCACAGTGGGAAATTGTAGAAATAACGAGATTGGGCCAGATAGGAACAACAGCCACCATTTATTGAGGATCTGCCGTGGGTCGTGTGCTTCAGACATGCTGTCTCTTGTTTTTCTAACAACTGTGCAATGTAGTTCTTGTCATCCCCATTTTAACTGTGCTCTGAGTTGTCATTTCCTATTAAAATTTAAAGCTTCATCTTTATAATAGGAATAGTATCTCATAACTTATTCATTTATAACCTTTCAAATAAAAAATGCATGAATGAGTTTCTGGGTTCTAGACCATGAACTTACACACAAATACAAATATATCTGGCAATGTATGTTGTCAAAGCAAGAACTAAAGATATTATCTTGTTTCAAAACCTCATAATTAACAGTAAAGGCCAAGGTAAATGTATCTATTACAAAAGAAAACTTCAGTAAAGCTCTAACGCTGAAAACCATTTTATTTTTTTGAAATTCACATAACTGTCAAGTATATTTAAGGTGTCTTTGTTTTCTCTCTAAAACGTTTACAACTAGACTTTCATGGACAATATTTTAAAAATGAAACACTAGTGTTTCTGTTAATAAAACATACTGCACTGACTCAAAAGATTACAGAAACAGTTACTTTGAATATATAGGTAATTTTAACGTAGTCAGATTATATGAGTTGATACTGAGAAATGAATGAAAAGCAATTTTGCATGCCAAACAAATAATGGAACAAAGGTAACTCAGGCTTTCAAGATTGGTTCTAAATATTGATTGTGCTATAAAGCTTGTATATTTTTGACAACCTGCAAGTTTTGGAGAGCCATTTCATGGAATTTTACTGAGCTCCTATGCCATAGATGTAATAATGTTGTTTGGGAGATGCTCATTTTAGCTTTCATGATTGCACTTGACATTCTGCCACAAAAAACATTAAAAATTACCTTTCAGCCCCTTAAGGCCATCAGGGCCCCTCTCTCCTGGGCGGCCTGGAATGCCTGGTTGACCTCTTTTTCCTGGTGGACCGGGAAATCCCAGTCCCGGAGGCCCCACTGGTCCTGCTTCCCCAGGAGGACCCAGTGGGCCAGGAAACCCCTTCTCACCTGGGGCTGCATCTTCATGATCCCCCTGGGAATGTTTATGTCATGAGTCAAGCACCAACCTTTGAACTAGAAGCAGTCATTGTAGGCTACAGAAACACATGCGAAAAGTCCATAATTCCAGGAGACAGTTACTTTGTAGCAAGTATAACTTAAAATAAGTTAGACTCTTCTAATATTTTACATACATATTTTGCATATTTACATACACATACACGGTACGAGTGTGTGAGATATGCCTCAAATACAGAAAGTACAGTGTGCGTTATAATATAGAATGAGAAACTTTATGTAGCATTAACCTCTAATATCATGCAATATAGAAATAAGTGAGCCAGAGGAGGTGGTGAGCTTGTACATTCTCAAGTATCTGAAATCGTTTCCCTGCATTCTTCTAGGAAGGTACATCGATGACTCTACCACCCTCCACGCTTTCAGGTAAAGGGCTAACAAACTCATTCTCCTTCTGCATGAGAATCTGACCTTAGGTTGACTGTTTAGCTCTCTGTTCTTTCATAAATGTGATAAAAATTGGATCGGCACTACATTCCTGAGCGACATCACATACAGCAAAATGGGTGTAAAATTGTCATGTGGTTTGCAAGAACTATAAAGATCTCTGGATGCCCTTGTTGGGGTTCCCTTGAGTGGAGGCCCCTGTAAAGGGTAGGTTTCCAAGCTGTGTTGTGCAGATAACAGCTCCTGTGGGGGTCGGGGGCTCTGCAGTTGGGGCTGCTCCCCTATCTGCCAGTTGTGATCTTGTTCCTACACCACAGCTGGATGCCCACCCGAAGGGATCCTGGGCACGAGGAACACCTCACGCTGCCTGCAGCAAGGGCAGAGTCCTATCTTCCAGGGTTCTGAGTGGCCCAGCCCCCAGTGTGCTCTGTGATAGTCTTGTGGGTCTGGATTCTTTCCATGCATCCAGAAGGAGCACACGGGTGTTTTAGAAAAGTGAGTGCTGTAAAAATCCCTTTCCCAATTTGGTTTGTAAACACATTTGCATTTTTCACATTTAGGTGGGTACATTAGGACAAATACCATTCAGTGTATTTGCAAATAGTGTAAGAGGGGGCTGAGGATTTAGCTCAGTGGCACCAGCACCTGGCTTGCAAGTGCAAGGTCCTCAGTTCGATCCCGGTACCAAAAAAATCCCCCAAAAAACCATTAGCAAAGTCAACAGAATTACCACATAGTGTAAGAGGAAGAATGAATTGTTACCAAGCATAAAGTACACATCATTCACAAACTTTACACAAGCCAAAAGGCCAGAAAGATACATGTAAACATTACTGAACCCAATTTCTAAGATCTTTTAGCCACGTGTATTTAGTCTGAAAGTGTCTACTTTAAAACCAGAAAGTAGCCCTTCCTTATTGTAAAACCCTCTGTAGTTTCCCAACACTTGTAGGCTACAGTCTGGTGAGGCCAGTACGCAATTTGGAATAAGACAGACTGGAGTTTCCACTTCAACTTGATAGGTGGGTGACCTTGAGTAACATATGCTAAGCTTACATTTTGTTACTCTAAAACTCGGAAGATGATTGGCCTTCAGTAGACAAGTGAAGCCTTTAGCCCAGGTTCTGTGATACTATATCAAATACTACACTGAATTGCATCTTGGTAAATTGAGAAGGGGAAAATAGATGCTTCGGTGAACATCTAAGACAGTGAAATTCTACAGCAGGAGAATTATACATACCCGGGGTCCTGGATCCCCCTTTTCTCCAGCATGTCCATCCTGACCATCTTGTCCAGGCTGCCCTGGAAATCCAGGGGGCCCATCAGGTCCTCTTTCTCCTTTGTACCCTGGGGACAGAGGTCAAAGGATATTCAAGTTTTTATCAGCGGGGTTAAATAGAAAGGAAGACTAAAGACAAAGGCAGTGACTTTGTGTGTAGGTTGTAGAGTTTCCTCTGAATGTCTTAGTTGACCAGAGTCACATAAACCATGCCAAAGCCAGAAAAGAAAATGACTATCACCAAACCACTTGACTCTCTTTATTTGGGAAAAATCTCTTTTTCCCATTCCCCCAAGGAAGTGGCATATGGAGGTGCCAGCCACAGAATCCCACCCTGCTTGCATGATGCCAAACACGGCATTTATCCCTGGCCACTATAAGGAGTGGGCATGATTGGGATCTTTCCCTAAACTAATCAGTCCTTTCTGAAATTACTTTTCTAACTGGAGCTGACAAAGCAGAGCTTTCTTCTTCTCTGGTCATAGGAATGTTGTGGTGTCTAGAAGGTGTATATCACACACGCTGGAAAAAGCCAGTCTGGTGGGGGGAAATGCAGCTGGGCAATAAAAGATGAAATCTACAGAGAGCCTGGGGAGATCCAGGGGGACGCCCCGGACCCGGTGCCCCAGTGCAAACCCCACATCTACCCTTTCACAATAAACTACCATCTCCCTCATACTCCTTCAAGCTAGGTGTCTGTCGTTTACAATTTAAATATTCTTGATTAATACAAGATATTACAATAGGGTGAGGGAACAATAGGAAGTCAAAGGAGATTTTCTTTCAAAACCCAAGTTCGCTACAATAAAGATGTGAATATGAATATTTATGTTTTCAAGTAAGAGACAGGAGATTCAGGGATTGACATTCAAAATGTAAGGGCAGGGGATTTTTTAAGCAATCCTAAATGATACAGAATTGATCTGCGGTCATGGGGGAAATTAGTGGCAGAAGATGGTTCATACATCATTCACAAAATGGCAAGGAGCTAAGTGATTGATCGTGCTCACCTTTAACTCTTGCTACCACCATGTCACCCTTTGTTCCTTTGTTGCCAGAAGGTCCTGGAACACCAGATTTTCCCTTGGTAAAATAATAAGAGCAACAGATTAATGGTGATGAGTCAAAGTTAGTCATATTTGTGGATATCTAATCTTCCCATCTTCTTTTGCGCAAAACCTCTTGTTGACATTCTCATCCCTTTTCCCACCTTCCACAGTGGTCCTAACTCACAAAATTGAGGCTATCGAGCTGCAAGCAAAAGGTGGTGAAATCTAAATGAGGTCTGTACCTGAATTAATAGTAATATATGTACGTAGATTTCTTGATTTTAGCATTGTGCCATCGTCATGTAAGACATCACTGAGGGAAACTGGGGAAAAGATACAGGGGAGCTTTCTATATGATTGTGGAACCTCTTAGGAGTCTTTAACAATCTCAGATAAAAACATAGTTATTTTTTAAATTGTCTTAGGCTTTGTATTATAGAACTGAGAACAAAGATGAGAGTGAGTTAAGCAGAATAGAAGATAGAGGTTTAAGCCTAAGTTTGTGATGAAAGAAGCCAGAAAATAATGTGATGTTCAGGGAAGTTGGTGAGCAAGAGAGGAGAAACAGAACTTGTCTCAAAAATAAAATTTAAAAGGCTGAGTAAAATTTTAAAAAGGCATCAGTATGAAAGGCCTGAGTTTAATGCCTCGCTCTGAAAGATATTGAAAGTATGAAGTACCAAGAATTACTCTGAGCACTAAGGATACAGTAGCTGACAAGACCATGTTGCCTTTGTGATGTTCAGGCACCAGTTACACGAATGTTTAACCTGGGAGATTGCTGGGGAAGACTGCTGTAGAAGCTAAGTGCCTGGTTATCAGCAGCTTTGGGACCAAGAGCTACTTTTCACAATTCTGTAACGGAAGATCACTTAACATTTGTGCTAATATAACAAGAGGTAAAAAGGAACAGAAATTCGTATTTGCCAGGCATATCCCTGTGGTCTCATATGCAGTCTAGATTGGGGACTTTGTTATGGGTTGCATCTAGATGTCCCCCCAAAGCCTCATGTGCTCATAGGTGGGGCTTTGGGGAGGTGACTGGATCATGGATGTGTGATACTGGCTAAATCCACTGATCAGAATGATGTTGGGAGCTGAAGTCCGGTAGGAAGAGGTGGCTCACTCTGAGTGTGATATATATATGCCTCTGACTCCCTTGAGTGTTTACTGCTTTGCACTTCCCTGCCCTGAGCGAGCCTCCTCTGCCATGCCCCTTGACCGTGCTGCCCTGCTTCAGAGCCAGCCAACTACAGACTGAAATCTCTACAAACTGTGAGCCAAAATGAACCTTTCCTCCTTTACCTTGTGAGTGTCAGGTATTTTGTCCCAGGAAAGAGGAAGTAACTAAGTCAGACTTCAATGGTGGATATCCACAGGGGCTGTGGCCCTGTAAGGGAAGTGGGCAGAGGGCACCATGGCAACTGGAACCCCCAGCAATCCCCTGAGGCACAGCCACGTGGATGGAGACACCAGCGGCAGTGGTGGGAATGTGTTAACTGTGTGCTCTGTTGGTGAATGTCCAGTTTCTCAAGGAAAGCCATGAAACTCATGGAGAAATCCAAAAACTAACACCATAAGAACACCACAAAACACTCCAGCAGGTTAGAGTTAGCCCATGACAATTTGTGACATTTGGTTTGCTTTCAAATTTCTTAGGGGCAGTAACCCTGGGTGTCTTGCTCTCCAGAGTGACCTTACCATTCTCAAAACATAGGGCTGAACTCCTTAACAAACCTGCAAGACAGTGCAGTTATATCCATTTTATTGATGAGGACAACAGAGCTCCCAAATGTAAAGGGGGAAGTAGAACCTGGGTGTGCCTGCTCCTATGTTCACTCTGACAGCCAAATCTATTGATTCTATCTTCAAATATATCTAGAATCTGAGTCTCACGCCACCTAGAAGCACCGCTTCAATCTGTCTGCTCCCCTGTATCACTGGGGTCACTCAGCTGTCTCCTAGCAAATCTCTCTGCTTCGTCTCTTGTTACAGTCTGTTCTCAACAGAGCAACCAGAATAAGTGATCCATTTAAGGTGAATGTCACAATAGATCCCTCTTCTTACACCTTTCTCCTGTTCCTCCTAGTAAAAGCTCAGATTTGAACCCCTTGCAAAGCCCTATGTTCTGCAACCCTTCCTAACCTCCTGCCACGTCTCTGATCTCATCTCCTCTGCCACACCGATGTGATGACCTCTGTCTTTTGCCTGTCATGTGGTCTGCGTCCTCTCTGCAGCTCCAGGAGGCTGGAGACTGTGTTTTGGTCCCTGCTATATCTTCAATAACTAGAACAGTGCCTGTGACACAATAGGCACTCAATGCATAGCAACTGGTTGAATAATTAGTGGACAAATGAACAGATATAGGGTTTGTTAGTAATGATTTTTTTCGTTGTGAATATTTATAGCTTCAAAATACAGATTCTATCACCCCATAAATTAGAAAAGGGTGCACTGAATTCTCTCTCTGTCTCCTTTAACTGGAAAGGCGAGGAATAGGAGGATCTACTCACTGGTTGCCCTGGTGATCCTTCAGCGCCAGGAGGGCCTAGGTCACCTTTTCCTCCAAGCCAGCCTGGGAGCCCTGCTTCCCCCTTATCGCCCTGCCTCCCAGGTAGCCCCAGAGGGCCAGGGGGCCCCACAGGGCCAGGTGGGCAGGCACAGAGTCCTTCGTTTCCTAGAGGGGAAAAGGCAGCTTTGTCACATTTCCTGAAATATAACCCCAAATAAGGACTCTTCGGTACAAGACCAAGGGTGCAAATAGGGCCCCAAAACTGGCTGGCAGGTGCAATTCTTACCACAGACAACTGAGGACGTGGCCTGGGGGACCCGGGTGGGAGCAGGGGGCATTGTACAGGGGAAGTTTTCTTCTTTTTAAAACTTAGAAATATTTGGTTTCTGTATTTGGTTTCAACTAAAGAAAAAAATTGGTTAGGATGTTAACCCTCAATAATTAAGGGAGCGAGGCAATACATGAGGGGAGATTATTGTCTTACATATCACAATGGCTAATTCACCACAACATGTTTCCTAATCTTCAGGACTTAAAAAAAACTCTTTAGGAAAGTCAAACTCCTTGGTTGTACTTCTGCTGTCAGATCACCTGGTCAGTCACTCAAAAGTTTCCAAATATTTAAAGTGTACAACTTAGAGCCGTAAGCATTCAACGAGTCTGGGAAATATGGGACTCACAGAGAAAAAAGAAACAAAATATCAATCCTGTCCTACATGTACCTGCTCTCAAAGAATCAAGAAGACTTTGTAAGTAAAGTCATCGTTCAGGGCAAATTTCATGGCCTTTATATTGGAAGATACCAGGATATGAGTTCTTGGTGACTTTTAATCTTATGGCAGCATATAATGAAGCAGAGAACGCACAGGGAGCAACTAAGGGGAATAACAGATCTGAAGGAAATGCCACATAGCACAGCTCACATGCACCTCCCCCATCTGTAGTTGTCATCTAGAAATTCCATCTTTGATGCATACTTGCCTTTTTCTCCTTTTGAGCCTCTTCCTCCCGGGGGGCCCATTTTGCCCTTTATTCCTTGTGGTCCAGGGAGCCCCACACTGCAATGTACCACTGGACAGTGGAGAACAGGTGGGCAGAGAATCACAGGAGCTTTGTTAAAGTCGCCTATAGAGCCAGAGTCCCTTGCATTCACATCTTCCTCCCTATGTCTCAGCTCTCAGCCCCATGCTTTGTTCCATTCTTTCCCCAGGATACCCTCTCCCTTTCCTCCCTCCCTCTCTCTCTCTCTCAGACATGAACACATACACAACATGCAACTGTCATGGCATACTTCCGCCACCATAACCACTGATAAAGCTGCCCTTAATCCTAAGCCCCAAGTTAGTGGAAAACAGAACAAGATAACCTACAACAACCATAAAGTAGCAAAGCAAAACCTACAAAAAATAGTCATGATATGAGAAATATTCTCCCCTTTCAATTATCAATTATTAGGTAATGAAAAAAACATAAAACATGGCTTGCAAATTATGAACACATCTGGTTAAAAATGACAGATACAATGCAAACAGTAAATTCTACATTCTCCCCAAATCCCAGTAGAATAAAAGACAATCAAAGAATATTATAAAAAGACACAAAATCAATACCAGAAACAAAAAGGGGAGGTATAACAGAAAACAACAGTAGAATGTCAAAGGTTTTCGCAGACCCTAAAAATGCTGAGATCTAAACAAGCAATGTGAAAATTCCGAAAGAAGCAGAGTATACCAGAAATCTCCTTAGAGCAGTGAGAGCAAGATGACAGGGGTCAAAACAGCACGATCTGGTAAGGGATCATTCAGACAAGAAGATCCCTTCCAAGAATTGCAGCAGTCAACAGCAAAAGAAAATAAAAACAACCAGCGTTTCCCATTCCACTCTCATTAACGTACAAGAAACAGACAATGCTACCAGAAGAAAACATTTTTAAAAAGTATAATTAAAATAGTAGATGAGGGAGGACATTCCATCCCTGAAACATGAACAGGCTGCTGTAAAAGGAAACATTAAAGAGAACAATCAACAATAAAATCCTCTGAAAGAAACCAATACCTATTAATTATGATAGCAGAAATTTCCAGAGGAACGTTGGAAGGTGTTAGTTAAAGAAATCTACCAAAAATTCATATAGAAAAATAAAGTGAGGAAGAGTAATCAAGTTAAGGTTAAAAAAAAAAAAGATATGTAATTGTGTGTGTGTGTGTGTGTGTGTGCGCGCACCCATGCGCACATGTCTGGTACTAGAGATTGACCCCAGGGCCTTTGTACTGAGCTATATCTTCAGCCCCTTTTAAATTTTTCATTTGGATACAGGGTCTCCCTAGGTCACTAAGTTGCCCAGGCTGGGCTTGAACTTGCAAATCTGTCTCCCAGAGTTCTGAGATCATAGGAATGTGCAACTACATCTGCCCTAAGATTGGCTTTTTAACAAACAAGTAAATTTAAATTCCAGAATAAGAAAAAAAGAGAGAGAGAGGAGGGAGATAATGTCTTCAAACAAATACTTGAAAACAAGTTTCCAGACATAAAGGATGTGTTGCATTGAAACTGCCCCCTGAGTACCTACAAGTGAATCTGAATATATCACACAAAGGCAAACTGTTGTGAAATTTAAAGCACTGAAGACAAAAGCTTCTGTCCTACAAGCTTCCAGAAAGGAAGTAAATTTCAAATAAAGAATCAAGTATATAAATGTTACTGGAGTTTCTAGTAGCAGCACTGGAAAGTAGAAAACAATGCGGAATGTTTCAGTCCTAAGGAAAAAGATTTCCAATCAGTTTTATGCTCAGCCAAATTATCAACCAAATTAGACAGTAGAATTAAAGCCATTTTCAGACAAGCAAGTTCCTCTACTTTCATCTCTTATTTATACCCTGACTCAGGAAGTATATAGCAAGAAATACAAGTTGTGGGAAATAAAGAGAAACAGACAGACAGAGAAAGAAACACACACACACACACACACACACACACACACACACAGAGAGACACAGAGAGATGAAAAATTTCAAAACAATATCTCAGCAACAGACCCAAACTGTAACTTGACCTAATTTGAACAAGTCAAAAAGCTCCAGAAAAGATACATTCAAAGAGCTAATATGGATAGAATATTTAATGATTTAGAGCATATAATGATGAGATTTACATAATTCTGAGTGGTTTGAGAGTAGAGTAATAACAACTATATCAAAAACCAAAGTAACACACAAAGAAAACAAGGTAATTTACAACATGTTGTGGTAGAAAAATAATAAATGTATTAAGCCATGGCTTAATTTGTGAATACCACTTATGCAGCCATTCTGTGTACACATTGAATATTTATGTAACCAAAATCATGACAATAATTATACTGACATGTCACAGAAATGGGAAATGTACATATGTGGTGGGATACTGGTAAATGAGGGCTATATTCATTTTCTGTATGGGGAAGTCAAAAGATAATGCCCACACTGAAAAATGAAGGGTTAGCAATATGTGTATGCTGAATGGCAATGTACTAACAATAAAAGATTCAGCTACATGTTTTGAAATAATCATCTCTGGGGAGGATGGATAGGAGAAGCAGTTGCCTCCTGGGATTTCTGTTCTTCATAACAGACCTTCTAGAACAGTTTGACTTTTAAACCTGGCTTATATATACCTGATAAAAATAAAAGCTATGTTTAAAAAGCAAAAATTGCATTGATTCACAAAATTCCAACATTCACTCTTAAATCCCCAATTAATTGATTTCATCTGTTATTGATAACCTGACAACCTCAGCTTATTTATTTGTAAAATAATTTTAATATTACTAACTTGGTTCATGAAATATTATATAACTGCTTTAAATATTTAGAAATATATACTTTTTGAATGACCCTGTGAAACTCAAATGCAGCATAAATGCTAGAGGATATAAAGGAGAAACGCTTTACCATTCGGTCCTGCGGGACCCTGTAGCCCTGGGACTCCGGGTAAGCCAGGGGGTCCTGGCTGCCCTGGTTTTCCTGGGGTGGAGTCAGGCCTCGAAGGAATACCGGCTTCCCCTGGAAACCCTGGAGGACCAGGAAGCCCTGGTGGTCCCAGAGGTCCCACCATGCCTGCAAGACAAAGCAAGAATGAAAACCACTTGTACTGTGGAGTAAAGATTTCTGGCAGAAGAAATCAAAATCTGTACATGCTTCCTCAAGTCATGGAATATTTTTAAGGAAAACGGATGGAGATGTAGGACATTATGCTCAGTGGCATATGCCAGGCACAGAAACAGAAATGTCATATGATCTCTCTTAAATAAAATAATAAAAGTCACAGAAACAGAGAGTAGAATGGTGGTTGTCAGGAGCAGGAGCAAGGGGAGACCAGGGTGGTTAAAGGGTACAAAATCTCAGTTTCATAAGATGAACAAGTTTGGGAGCTCTAATGAACAACATGGGGCAATATTTAACAGTATGGTACTCCATACTTGAAAATTCCAAGAGGATAGATCTTAAATTCTCTTACACACACACACACACACACACAAATGGTAACTGCGTGGAGGTGACAGATATATTAATCAGCTGGAAGGTGATAATCATTTCACAATATGTTCCTACGTTGGAACACCAAGTTGTACACCTTAAAAAGATAAAATTTTTATGTTAATGATATCTCAGTAAAGCTCTTTAAAAAAGAAAATTGTTCCCCAATGACAGTGCTTAAAAGAAGTAGACGTAGAAAAAAATTTGTAAAACTTGACTTAACACAAAGCATATTATAGCTAGAAAGTAAGAGTTAAGTCATGATAATCTGAATAAGCGGCATTAAATGAAAAAGGGGAGGAAAACACAGCTCAAAAATAAGTGAAGGCCAGGGGTTTAGCTCAGTGGTGCCGCTGCCTGCCTCACAAGTGCAAGGTCCGGAGTTCGATCCCCAGTACCAAAAAAAAAGTGAATATCTCAGCTGTCAAAATACCTTGCTTCTGGGCCGGGAATTTTGCTCAGTGGTTCCGCCCCCTGCCTTGCAAGCGCAAGGACCCCAGTTCGATCCCCGGTACCAAAAAAATATATATATATACCTTGCTTCCTTTGAAACAAACACAAGTGCAAACAGGTTTGGAGAATCAGATTTTCCTACCTCTTCACTGTTCTTCAGGGTTATAGGGAAAGAAATACATTTAATTTAATTAAAATTATTTTTTCAATCTTTCTACTTAATAACTTGTTAAAATTAATCTGAATAAGCTTATTAGCACATGTAGTGGATAAAAATATAGACCTGCCTAATTGTCTATGGAGAGCATAAAGCACCCTACCTTTCCCAGCAGCTGGGGTAGCAGAGGTGCCAGATTTGAATTTGGCCTCTCCCCCTCTAGCCATGGGACTTTAAGTAGGCTATTTAGCTGCTGAATCTTCTGTATCTGTTGGGAAGGCTTATTATGAAGATTAAATATATAATCCATATAAGGAGCTTAGTGCAATATCTAGCAATAGCATGAGCTCGGGGAATGTTCTGATGTTCTGTGTGCTCATATGAGGGCCAGAGTGGTGCAACAGCAGGTAAATCTTGGCTGCCCTTGACATCCAACCCCTCTGGCTGGTGGCCTTGGCTTAAAGACAGCTGGAAGCCTTCAGATGAATGTGACCACCTCTCCTAGCTCCTTCTTCCTAAGCTTGCCTGGTTCCAGAATTCTTCATGGAAGATTGCATTTCTCAAAGATAGCATCACAGTTGCTCTGGCCCTGCTCACTCTTGTAGAACCTTGACATGTCCCTACCGTGCCTGCCCTGTGAGCTGAAACACCCGGGACTTGGAGCCCTGAGCTGCCAGGTAGACAACTGTGCTACTTTGTGCTACTTTGAACCTTCCAGTGCTGCATGGAAGCCTAAATAATAGAAAACCCACATGGGGAGGCTCTGAAACTTCACAAATACAGTGCTCTGGCTCATCTCTAGGTGTTCCCCCAAAGCCTCATGTGGTCATTGGTGGAGCTTTCCAAAGGTAGATGGATCTAGAGTGTGTGATACTGGGATTAAGGGTGTGTGATTACTAAATTAGTTGACTGATTGATTTGTCTAGTCCTGGGTGTAGATAATGGGAATGGCCACCTCGGGTGTAAGTGCTACCGCCCTAAGGCCATGTAGGCAGGATAGGATATAAAGGACAGAAAGATGGGTGCTGCTGCCACTTGCTGCTTGTTTCCTCAATACTTCGCTGCCTAGCTACCTTCCTGCCTTCTGCCTGCCATGAGCTGTTTCTCCTCTGCAATGCCACTCTGCTGTGATACCCTGCCTTGGAGACGGCCAACTATGCACTGAAACCGCTACAAACTGTGAGCTATAATAAACCTTTCCTCCTTTAACTTTGGGTGTTGGGTATTTTGTCTCAGCAATGAAAAAGGTAACCAAGATGTACAGAAAAGAGATTATCAGCTAGAACTGAATCTCTACTTCCTGCCTCTATGTGACTTGACCATTTGAGAATCCCTGAGCCAGAAATCTCAGTTTAGCTCTTCCTGAACTCTTAAACTACAGAAAGAGTGAGAGGTAATATAATAATTATTACTGTTTCAATCCACTAGATTTAGGGTAATTTGTTCAGCAACAGACAATGGAAACCCTGTCGGTAGCCAGGGACGTAGCATGCAGGTTAAATTAATAGCTATGGTTACCATGCGCATATATGCTGAGGCTTCACATATACTTGCAAACATTATCTTTTCTCCACAAAAACCTGCTAAATTTATATCTTATAGATAAAAGACACAGAAAACTGAGGCCAAATATCAGAAACATTGTCAAATAATAGCTAATGCATTCAGTCTTTACTATGCACCAGGCTATGTTCTATGTGTTCTAAGGATTGTCTACATATAACTTCTTTCGATCCTAACAAGAGCCCATTTTACAAATGAGAAAACTGAGTCACAGAGGTGTTTAATAAATGCCTAAAATTAGACAGTTTATAAGTAGCAGAAATTGGAGTATTTCTAGTTCAAAGTACTATCCTACATGGTGCCACTAAATGCTAAGGCTGAGATCTGATTACAAGTGTCTGATTCTAAAACCCTCATCCTATGGTATGTAATGCAGATGACTATAAAAATTATACGTATTTTAAGGGCTATATACTATGATGTATTGAGAACAAATGAAAATGTGCCCCTGGTATATCTGGCTGCCATCCGGGCTTCCTGCTCCTCCCAAGACCTGACTGGGATTTTCCACAATCACTGGGTGACCTTGATGCTTCCCACTGTCTTTGCCCATTCCTAGGGAGGATGCTTAATCCTCTACCACAGAAAGAATGGGTTGCCCTGTATTTCAACCTTGATCCTGCCACAGTAGGGCATGAAATCAATGAACTTGTGGTAAGAATTAAAATTTTTCCCAAAGAATAGAATAGAAAATAGGGTATATCACATACCAAAAAGGTATTATGCTGTGAAGTTTGTTTCAGTCCATGGGATTACATATATAAGTTTGAGTAATGTAATATAAACAGAAGGCAAGATAAAGTACATTTCTTACTATGGATCACGGTCAATATTGGAAAGCCACTGGGTTAATTTATTTTTAAAATGCTTGTGGAGTTAAAAGCCTCCTATATATTTGAGCTTGAATCTTCTAGAGACCCTTGTTATTTACTCCCATTGGGTTTTGGTTTCAACTTGCTGGAGACACTATTTTATTATCAACAATACCAAAGGGAGAAATCTAAGCCTAGAGTCTAGTGCTTTCTGACCAACAGAATATTCTATCTGATTTGTACAATCCTGGATCAATTAAGTCAAGACAGTGTGAAGATTAAATGATCTAGACGTAGCTGCAGTACCTTTGGGGTCATTCAAACCTGCAAAGTAGAAGCTAGACTTGCAGATGAAACAAGAGTTTTGCAGTTAGAAGCTGAATATCTTTAAAACTTCTTAGGGTTTCTCAGTAAATATAATGAGACACAGGCTGGATAAAATTACATTTATTCAAGACTTTCTACTCTCACAGGTTTACTCTGCTTTCCTGGGTTCACAGAATGCAAATGTCCTCTAACTTTTATTCCCAGCCTTCCCAGGAATATTAATCAGCTTAGCTCCCCAAGGAGCTCATGGCCCTTATACCAATAAGACTCTTTCCCAGGCTTTTAGTCAAATGTCACTATGACCTATAGTTCTCTTGTTTTTGTTTTTATTTTAAGAAGAGGAAAGCCTTTTCTTTGAAGTAAGGCTGAATCGAAGTTTTATTTTTCAGTCATAATTTTTTAATACATTTCATGTAGAAAGTTTAAAATGGTAGAAAATGGTAGATGAATGGAATTTTACAAGTAGATGTCAACAAGGAGAGCCTTCTAAGAGGGTGGGGGAAACTCTAGCCACAGTTTCAAATCTTATTTGCAATCTTGGGGAAAGCCTGTTGTATGTATGTGTGTGTGTGTATATATATATATATATTCCCCACAACACCACTGATAGAATTTGATGTCCAGCTAAGGAGCCTGTATTCTTTCCTAACAAATGTTCAATTGATTTTATTCCAGTTATTCTTAACCCTGGCTGTACATTAGAAATGCAGGGCCACATTTTACATTGCAGAGCCCAATATGCTGAGTCTGCAGTGACCATTGGCATTGATCTCTTTTAAATACTCCTAAGATGATCTCAGTATCAACTATCACTGAGGATTGCTGGTGGATACATTGCAGGGAATCTAGCACGTAACATGCAGTGGATTCATACCTGGACAAGCTTCCCCTGGTTGGCCCGAAGGACCTGGGGGACCAGGGGGTCCAATATCTCCTATTTCTCCATAGCGGCCAGGGGATCCTCGGTCCCCTGGAGGACCTGCCAAAAATCATGACAGGTGTCAATAAACCAATGCTGCATACATTTTTTAATTCAGACACAATAACTTTTTGTGAGGCTTCAGAAATGTAATTAGGGGGCTCTTGTGGTTTTTTGCCACAGTTTAGGTGGAATATCTTGGACTGGGTACCCTCACGCTGTCTTCCACACATGAACTTATAGTACACCTCTGTTTGTCATTGATTTAGGCTCCTAACTAAGAAGTAGCACCTCGGTAGGTGTTAGTCAAATGATCTTATATATTTTAGCAATTAAAAATATTTTCTGAAAATGTTCATTATAGAAATCACAGCATACAGTTTATAAACTAAAATAAAATTTGATATACCATGAGACATGAACCAAGATGTACATCTCTACCTGCACATGTATAATTATATTTTCATGTTAAATTTCTGGCATTAACTTGCCTAGTGTGCAAACTACAGGGATTATGGGCCAGACTCTTTTGTCTGGGACACACAAGTCATCCTGTTTCTGGATAAACTGTGGAGGAACTGAACACAACACAAACCTTTGAGTGGAGGAGCTGGAGTTACCAAAACAGCTGGTGGTCCCGGGTACCCGCGGTCTCCAGGATCGCCCTGAAATTATTCATTTGTTCAGTTTTCTTGGAAGTGCGACTGTTTAACTCATGTTTCCTGGCATTAAACAAATATTAGAAAGGCCACTTGCACAATCATATGAGTAGAGATTGTAGGCTGACTAGAGAAAAGAATGATTCATGGAATTTCAGGAAGAACAAAGATATATTGATCTCCTGCCTACACAAAGAGGTAAATAAGGAACTGACAAAACTCTCACAAAAGAAAAAAAAATTAAAGTCCAACAAAATTTTTCTATGCCCATACATTAAATACTTCTGAAGTCACTAATTTTTTTAGATATAGTATAGGCATTAATATGTAACTTGGTGCTCTAGTACAAATAATTTATTCACCTGTAAATTCTGAATCCTCATTTCATTTTAGCAGCAAATATGGTCTCCCTTAATCTTAATCATGTTTCCTTAGTGCCATTACAGCTTGTTGTGAGCAACTACTGAATGTAAGATCACAGAGGTTACAAAGGAAAGAAAAGCATGCCATGGTAGTAAAAGCAGACAGCTCTCTGAGACACTGTTTTTCATCTCAACACTGTGTGATTCCATGCAATTTTGGAAACTTATTATTATTTACCTTTAAAAGAATCATTTCTCAAATGTATCACATAATCATAGGGCTGGGAATGTGTCTCAGTGGTAGAGTATTTGCCTACCAGGTGCAAGGCCCAGGGTTCCATTGCCAGCAGAATAAATAAATAAACAAGCAAACGCCACGCCATGATTATGCTTAATATGATAATGATAGGCTAATACAGTAATCATGCATACTAATACACAGCGTGCATTAAAATGATATAAAACTCTTTCAAAAGTTACATTTTTGAATAATTATTTAAAATACTTTTTAAAATAAATTAAGTAATATATGGGCTATGAGATTTTTATCAGAATATATTTAAATAGGATCATTTTTTTTTTACCTTTGGGCCAAGAAATCCAAATACCCCAGGGTCTCCAGGGGGCCCTTGGTCTCCCTACAAACAAGCACAAGCATGTATTTTTAAAAATTAAATATACTCGGCTAACACATTAGCTCATCTGCCTGTAATTTGAACAACACAGGCTCACTGAGGCTCTGAGTGAAGTCAATCCTGTAATCCATGAAATGAATGTGTCTGCCTTCCCAATTGCTGGAAGCATTGGCCTCCAGTAGCACAATCTCTGAAAGATGTTGGATTGCATTTACTAATGGAAAGGTACCTGTCATCTCTATAATGATGCATATTTACCTTTAATCCTGGAAAGCCTGGAGATCCGTAGGAACCAGGGTAACCCTAATTGATTCAGGAAAAATCAACAAGCAGAATCAAATTAAAATGCATCAGCCGGCTCATTGTATAATGTTTTTACCTTATCAAATTGTTCTAGGCGTACTTAGTTGTGTGTGCAAAAACAGTTGAGTAAAAGGAAATAAATATAAAACAGATTCCATTTATTTATAATTTTTGCTACTTTGATCCTTAATCTTATTTGATTCATGTCATTGCCAATGTTTTAATTAAGAATGTACGTTTGTTGTTTTGACTTCCAATTTTAATTTGTTTAATTTAATACTTACACTAGGTCAACTATCTTTAAAATCACTGCGCTATATGTATCTGGAAATTAAGAGTTGCTCTGTGAATCATTCACCAAAAAATGACCATGGATTCATGATAAAAAGGAGCGTGGAAGCCACTGTTACCCCATTTAGTGCCAAATCTAGAGTCAAATAAGCTCAATCCCTGTGGCCAGCTAGGAACTGTATGGTGGCTCCCTGGGGCATCCCATTAATGACACATGTGGTGATGTTACTGGTCTGATACTGAGCTTCTTCCCTAAATCCTATTCCTAGATCAGCATTTTATTTTTTTGGAATAGGCTTAAGTTAACCATTCCAAATAACTATCACACTGACAGCAAGCCATACAAGAGAGGCCATAATCCTGTCACTTGCCTCATAGTTTTTGTCTTCTGCATGCTTCATTTATCTAAATGATGCCAATAGAAGGAATGCTCTGGGACTTTTACCTATCACATAATTCTTGTTTTCCAAAATATATGGTTCTTATGTAAGATGTTCTCTACTTTTGAGCTCATGGCAATTATAAATCTACTCTTACAAATCTGTAAAAGAGCAATGCCTCTAAATTCAAAGAAGGTAAGAACAAATGACCCTTACCCGAGGTCCTGGGAAGCCAGGAATGCCTTTCTCTCCTTTCACCCCAATACCAAGTTCTCCCTTTAAAAGATGACAGCACTTAGAAGGGTTCAAGCAACACTATTTCATAAACAAGCAATCAACAATTTAAAACAACTACATTAATCTAGAGATCCTACAGAATTACAATGTGATAGTACAAAGTCTAGTAATGTGAATGTATGATTAGGCAGTATAGTTAATATTTAAATCAAAATTTTAAAATTTACTGCAGTAAAAGACACATTGCCATTAATCCCCCGTCATAGGGTTTCCCCTGGCTTGGAAGCACTTATCCCATCATTTGCGTCATTTTCTGAAGCAGTTCTGGAATTCCACTTTTGTGAATTTCTTTAGATGTGCTGTCATGGCTGCCTCGATGTCCTGAATTGATTTAAAATGTTTATGGCAGTTTCTGCCAAGTGAAAACATTATGGTGTGTCCGCATCCACCTTACTCACTGGATCTGGAAGCACATGATCTCTGAGTCTTCCCCAAAGTCTAAGTGACCATGAAAGGGAAATGCTGTGAATCTATTCAGGACATGGAGGCATCCCTGACAGTGCAACTAAGGACACTCATGAAAGAGGACTTCCACAGCTACTTCAGAGAGTGGCAAGAACTATAGAAGAAGTGTGTTTGAAGCAAAGGGAAATATTTTGAAGTGGATAATGGTAACGTGTCTTTTACTGTAATAAATTTTAAAATTTAAACATTCACTATATTTTTATCACACTTCATATAGATTAGCATTTAAAACAATGGCACCTCATGCAAAATAAAATTTGAAATTAAGTCAGCACCTAATACAAATGAAAAAGATACTTAAATGAACTACCTTGAGTCCTGGTGGTCCTGGAGGTCCAATCATTCCAGGAATTCCTTTTACACCCTAAAAAAATCATAAAGAATATAATCTGACTTATGTATCATACAGATTCCATCTCTTAGAAATCATCTCTTCTGACAATCTGTTTCATTAATTTATGTTAATAAGGGACTACTCTTCACCTGCCAGTAATTAGCAACTAAGATCCCAGCATACCCAGGACCCAGATCCTAGCATACTCAGGACCCTGACACTTCAAGACAGTGTAAGAAATGCATGAGGTGTGGGGTAGACCACCATGGAACTAGGGCTATAGATGTAAATGTGAGAAAGTCACTGAAAGAAGTGGCTCCTTCTGAAGTAGTGGAATTTAACCAGTAATTGAAAAAAGAAAAATAACAGATTCTATGTGTGGCCAAGGGTAACAGGTGAATGAATTAACATTTGCCAGAGTCTATTACATGCTCAGCTCTACGCATTTGTTACCCTTTCAGTTATGAATACATCAAACACATTCATAACATCCAAGGAGAGATAACTGAGCTTGCTGCTGTGGTCTTTTCTGTCCACATATCAAACCAATATTCATGAGGCCCTGTCTTGTGGAGGTCTTGGCAAAAGATAGGAGCCAGAACAAGGTACGCCATTCAGCATCTGAGTAAACTTGAGAACACAGTAACCTTCCAATCCTTTATAATCCACCCCAATATGATGGGGCTAATTATCACAGTGGCCTGTTAAGGCAGCTTTGAGATCAGCAATGTGATGCATATAATGTACGCAGCACTGTGTTGTCATAGGTGTGTGTTCAGGAAGTGTTTAAGGTGACTTATGGTTTGACTTATGAATAGGTGTTACCTTTTCTCCTTTATAGAGGCAAAAATCAGGTGGCTCTACCAATAGGGTGGGTCCAGGAAAACCTTGTTGGCCAACTTCACCCTTAAAAAAACCCAGGAGAATGGGACTTGCATGTTAATTTATGTTTTGAAACAAAGAAGACTTTTACTCATACATTATGCTATAACGTTTCCAACCTTGTGTGTCATGGATTTAAATTATAACCCACGGCAAAAGTGTCACATAATTCAAAATGATAGCTTTTGTTTCTTATTGAAATATTATACATACAACTGAATATAAATTTAGAAATAAAAATGACTCATAATATTACCATCTAGAGATAATCTCTATTAAAGAGTCGGTATAATTCCTTGTGGTTGTTTACACACATATCTATATATATACAAACGCACATACAATATGTGAACAAATGGTGCATTAAATGAAATTTTAAAAGTACATAAGCAGAATAACACTATATAATACATAGGCATAATTTAAAATATACAATATAATTTATGCTTTGTTAAATGTTTTTTTGGTACTGGGGATCAAACTCAGGACCTTGCACTTGCAAGGCGGGCATGACACCACTGAGCTAAATTCCCAGCCTGGATTTTATCTAATTTTTAAACAATCATATTTTTATGACAATTTTTGAGCATTTTCCAATTATACTAAAACTTCTTCAGAATCATGATTTTTAATGCCTATCAAATAATCTATCATAAAAACATGCTATGATCTGTAAGCCAATCTAAACTGGCTGGGTTTTAAAATTTTATATTAAATAAATTTAGCTTATTTCTTATTTACTTTCAATAATATTTTTAAACTATATAAAATAATTAGCCAAGTTTCCATTTGTGTTATTATAGATACTGTTGCCTTGGAGAAAAAATGTCATTTGAATTGATTTTTCCATAACACAACACTGAATTCTCATCCTTGGTTAGATGGTTACTTCATATCTTTCTGATTGTCACTATGGTTCTGCACTTAGAATTATGGTCCCCCTTGGGCAGTGAAGAGCAGGCTGTGAGCAGCTCACCTGTGTTTTCACACCAGGCCCTTGCTGGCTGTGGCACTGGGCTATTTCTTTACAATATCTCTTAGCTCTAGTTTCTTAAATTCCTCTACACCTCACTTTTACTCTCGGTGAAAAAGAGGTTACAATATTGCCTACTTCAAAGCATCATTTTATTAAATAGAAAATATACATAAGATGCTTACAGCCATGCATTAATAACAAAGTAAATTCTCAAATATATAATTACTAAAGCCATATTGGTTTTGGTAGGTGGGATGTTTGAAAGAATACTATTTCAAGTTTATATGAAAAAAAGAATTCAATCTCTGCATAGATGTGGGAAGCTACAGAAAAGCCAAGAAACACTGTCTTTTCTTTTACCCTTGCTATATTCTGGTAGCTAATAAAGTGTTAGTACACCAGCTAATCTGCATATTGCATAAACAAATGATTAAACCAAACCCATAAACAACTCATGAGTAAATGACCGATATGTGTGGGTAATGATAAACACACTTATTCTCATAGCTGAGGTAAGTTTGAGGACATCCCATAAAGGCCGACGAACAGGGAACTTCTTTAAAATATGGGCCACCCTAGTATTTTTTTCATATTGTAAAAGTACCATATAGTCAGTGCAGTCAAAAACACACATATGAAAGAAAACTATGAAGAATAATATGTAAAAAGGTACATAATCTTTCCCCACAGCCCTGCCAGCATTTGTTATTGGTTGATTTCATGATAGCAGCCATTCTTTCTGGAGTGAAGGGGAATCTCAGCGTTGTTTTCA